TGGTTTTCATTTAAACATACAAAACACAACCCGTGTTCCAGAGCGAAATTACGACGAGTGTCGTTACCTTCTTTTATAAATTTCTTACAAAAAGTGATTTTATGTGTATCAGAACAAAAAACACATAACCCTTCTTTCTTATCTTTCATAATATGAAATGATTGAGCATTCTTTACAGTATTTCTTTCTATATTTAACCTATTATCTAAATTCTCTAATCCTCGGAAACGACCTACTAAGAATTCAGTAAATTGAGTAAAGTTTGGCAACTCATCACTAACTTCAGATGACACCTTGAGTTCCCATGCTTTACGCGTGTCCTTATCTAATTTGGCACTAATAATGTGTATAATAAGAATGTCCCAAGATGACACATCAACCCCCAAATTCTTTATAGATTCTAAACAATCAGTAGTTGTGTTCACTAACTTTTTAATTTCATTTGCAGATTCCGATATTAAGCTTCTCTGATTCAATAAACGTTTCAAAATCCCGTTAGCTAAAAACTTTTTATTATTATATAAAGACTCTAATTTTTTCCAACTACTTTCATAGTTTTCTGCCGTAACACTTATATTTCTCAATAGTTGTGCTGCTTCACCAGTCAAATGACTCTTTAGGTAATAAAATCGTTGCGCATCATCTAGAGACTTGTTCTTATGTACAAGCCCTAAGAACAAATCCCTAAAAGTTTGCCATTCAATATACTTACCAGAGAATAAGGGTATTTTAATTTCAGGTAATTTTATATTGTTTACCTCTACACGACTACTAGATGACCCTGCTTGTACAACACGATTATTATCTTTCAAGTTTATTTTAAACAAAATTTCTTTCATATCTGTTTTTAACTGAATATAAATCTCCTCTACTTCATCGAAAACACATTGCTTAAAATAACTAGACTCGTGCAATTCAGCTTTCTTAGTATCCGTAATTATTTTTACATGAGTATTATGAAAAAGTTCCCATTGTTGCTCTAAGTTTCCCAAACGAGTTTCTATATATGAAACTGTCAACCGGTCTTTAGGTGACTTTTTAAAATTAGCAAGAGCTCTAATCATTTTCATCTTTATGTCATCTTGAATGTCAAACAAAGAACCCATATTTACTCTTTTAAAAAAGAAACTATAAATGTCAAACAAAATTAACTGTCACCTGAAAACAAAATTATGAATTATACTATACTACTAAGAAGATGATGAAATGTCCAAATTGAATGTTTCGTATCTTCGCAAAATAATTTTAAAATGCACCACACTTCTATATGCACACTTCTATATGTACACTTCTATATGTACACTTCTATATATGTATAACACAACACTTTTCTAATACTCCAATAGGTGAAGACTCAATCAGTCCACCTTATGCACAACTCCTCCCAACGTCCCTCCGGTATTAGCCGGCTCCGCTCAGGTCCGCAACAACACAATGCTGTCTCGCTGGGGAGAATTTCTTGACGCCGGGTGATGGATATTTACCATCCACAATCGTATCTACGATGTTGCGCGATCCGGATCCATACAGGACCAATGAATAATAACTTCAATAGATATACTTTTTATGACTGTATTTTATCCATAGAATTTTGGTTCTCAACAATTTGCAACAACTTATTTTTATACATGTCAAATGTCAACAACATATTACTTATTTTTCTTACTAAGTATAGACAATATTATTAAAAATAAACGTAAAATAATACTATATTGGATATGATAACCATAATGGCAACAATGGGTTTCGTAATTTATTTTGCAGTATATACCTACTTTTTTATCATTTGCTACTATTTTATTATTATTAATGTGCAGGAGTCAGTAAATTGTTTTTTCTGAAAAGTCTTATCAATTTTCTGAAAGTCTTATCGGTTTTATTTAATACGTTCAGTTGAGTCATTAATTTCTATAAGTTTATATGAAATTCGAATAGTTAAAGTTGTAAATAACACGTTTGGCCTATATCCTGACTTACTAGGTTTCACCAAATTCACAATTCGTACAATGTATTGTGATTTGTACAAACGATACGCTGTCGTGTAGGGCAGTTATATACCGTGACCGCAACAACGACAATTAGAAGATCGTTGGATATCTAAACGTATTATAACTAATGTTAAATCGAGGTGCATCAATTAAAGTGAAACACGTTCGTATTTGCTACTTTAACAACGCTGCCGAGGCCCTCACTCAGGCTCTTGAAAGTCCATCCAGACGAGTCAAGAGTGAGATCTGTAGAGATCTAGGTACTCATCATTATCGACCCCTTTCTCAAATTCGTCATACTACGCATGCAGAACATGCTTCAGCATGCATTATTGTCACATAATTCCCAATAATATTTTTTTATGTATACTAATATAATAAAGAGGATTTGTTTGCATTGATTTGGACTCCAAAACTACATACTGGACCGATTTTTTAAATTCTTTCACTTACGGAAAGCCACATCGTATGCGGGTGACACATGCTATATTCTTTACGCCTATAAGGTCGCGGGGTAACCGCTAGATTATTTACAAAATACTACAGGTAAAAATAACATGTCTCAAATACCTAATACGAAAAAGATAATTCCGCCCCAGAACGGTATATTAACAGAACCACTTCACTAAGATTCCGTCTGGTACCTGAGTAGTTATTTATGTGCAACCCTGCCTCACATACATGTCAAGGTAGGGTTCAATATTCGGGGACTCAGTACGCACCGATTTATTAATACATCTGCACGCCTCAAAACACCGGACGTGAAATGCTGTGTAAAACAAGAGTAATCTCATTAGGTCAAATTCAGTCAGGCACGCGCATCGAAATGCACGAGAGCGCACGAAACTCTCTCAGGGACCTTCAGTATGAAAATTCCAGATAGTATTACGTCATCGCACTGACATAATCCCACTTTCTAATCCTTTTCACGGCAAAGCATATGAAGTAAGCTCTAATCAAGCACCCATTGAAACACGGTCAATTCACGCAAGGCGCTTCCGCGTGCGCGTGCGGCAGCGGCGCCTGGCCAGATCATTGCCAGATGCCGCCGCCAGTCGCGGTTGGATCGCGACGACGGGGTCAACAGCCACTGCCCTTGTTTTGCGCACTAAATTAATTATTTCAAAGTACAGGAGCCCTACTCTCAACTAAATTTTGGATAACTGAAACGTTCTTATTTTGTTTATTACAAGGTGGGTTATTTTCGTGCAGATTTTTGTTTCTGCGTATGCGCTTTGAATACCAACTGTTAGTCGTAATAAAATCATTTTCGGCGAAACAACGTAGGCCCTCAGCTGATTACTGAAAATCGAAAACGTTTCAATTAATCTGAGGTCAGGAAAATTGAACTTCAATCCACAACTCTGATATATATGATTAAAATACAATTACAGCTGCGTACGCGTGTAATATGAAGTAACACGTGTATTATGCAGTGATCGTGGTTACGTAATTAATATTTAAATATATAAACTGGCTAACTAATTTGGATAAATAAATACAAGAATGTAAGAGCTCATTATATATTTTTGACTTTAATTCTATACTGCAATATAAACGATTTTTATTTAAAAACTCCCGTCAATTTTACCCTTACCAAATTATAAAGTGGTTATTGAATAAATATATGGAGACTAGAAGTTCCTGTTTGATACTTCCGACATAGTTTTTTTTTTAATCGGCGACATCAGAGTCCGCTACGGTATCAGATTCTATATAGATTTTAAAAATAAATAATACAAGTCAAGATTCGTTATTTTTGAAGAACAATAACGACGGATGTGTCGAAACAGAACATCAAGTTTCCCTTGAATCAGCCTGTTAGTAGGTAGGATATTAGATACTAGAAAACTAAGTAAATATATTTGAGTATTACAAAAATGTACGAAAAAACGAAAGAAGAAATGTCTACATTACATTAATTTGTCCACCTTTTCCTAAAAACTGTATCGTATACAACTACACTTAATGTATTCAGGTTTATACCTATAAAGCATCGTTACCTTCTTATATATTGACTTACCTGTCATTTTCTACCTGTGATTTTAATGTTGATTTGACTTTGACACCCATTACGAAGTAACAAGTCAATAATGCGGTTCAAATATGTGCTTAAGTATAATTTAATGCGTTTTAAAAGTGAATGCAGGCTTTGGTCGTGCCACGATTAAAGTGGCTTTCACTTTTAAAAATAATAAAGGGCTTCAAGGTCGATAATAGGGATTCGAATCAATGTCATTTATTAAAAAGACATTCATGATGTGTTATTATAATACAGTAACTGACAGGATAGTCATTAGCCTATAAAAGAAGGAATGCAACAAAATTTGCATTGTTATCACAGTAATAGTGAGTGAACATTTAGGTTATACCTGAATTAGTCAATTTACCGGATAACTATTCTAATTTACGTAAATCAATGCCCAGGCCTACGATTGCGGAACATTATAAAACAAAAATTTATATGTCGGTCCCCCTATTCTAAAGCGTCAACTTATACTATACATATTTATAAACATATATTAAGTAAATAGACTCATTACATTATACGAATTCTCATGAAAAAAATACAATGTCATTGCAGACTCGTACCTACAACCAATCTTTCAATCTACTTAGAGTAATATATGAATATACAAGCAAATGCAAAATAATATCACAATCTTTGTCTATGATCCTATACAAAATACTCATTATGTATACAATATGCACTGCATTGGAATACAAGCGCTTCTTTTGTTTTATGTTTACATTTCTTTTGTTTGGATGTGAAAATGAAAACAATGTTGCACTGGAATATGAACGGAATTTAAATTCAAATGTAGAGCACCATTAAACCGTAATCATAACTTCTATTTTTAATTAAATAAATTCTCCCCTTTATTCCAGTCACTTCATAAAAGATAATATATTCTATAGTTGTCATTAAAAGTCGACTCTATAAAAACTAGAAAGATAATTAAATTACTCGTTGATATATATTTATTTACAATATGATCGTTTCTGTTTCAGGTGTTTGCAATGTGGTGCACGTGGTCTACTTTACTGCTAGTGTCGTGTGCACTAGCATCAACTGGTGCAGAGGTCGAGACCACCCACGTTCCTAATATCGAGACGACCACAAGTCAACCCGCTGAAAGTGTTACCGAAAAGGCAGCCAACCTAGAGCCTGACGACTCGACGGCAGCTGAAACTCGATTAGCTGTAGCAACCACTCGCGCGCCGCTGCGCACTCTTGACAGACAAGCCGCTGAACATGCCTGGCGCTTGTGGCTCCAAAGCGCGGAAAGTGGCAACCAAAATGCACCCCCTAGAAGAATTACTACGAAGTCTTTATTCATCACTCCTCTCGTATGTCCCAAGGGCCAGAGACTCGACCGAAATGGTTGCGTTCAGGTAAATTTCATTAATATACTTTTTAAAATTGAAATAAACTTGGAGAACATCTAACCTACTCATAACCAATTAATTTCTGTAAAAACATTTGATTAAGTATCTATGATATGATTACTAACTACGTAATGCATTAACGGTTCTGCTCAACGGTTTTTGCTGAGTTACCTTAGTACTGTAGGCCCTATATGAACAAGAAATCACTATGTATTTTAAGAACTTTTCATTATTTTAATTATACTGACCTGCGCGTCTAATATTTCTAAATCATATCAACAAGAAATACAATAAACAATAAGATAGAACCTAATTGTTTTTGTTGTTCGTGAACATAACTTTATTAAACTCAAATCTATTTTTCTATATTCTAGGTGGTAACTGTGAATAAAGACGAACACGAGCGTATTCTTCTAGAACAACTAAACGCGCTGTTCTCGTCACCATCCACTGGCGACGTATTATACGATTACGGCGACGAAGAGCCGGGCCCGTTGCAGCTATCAATACCCATCAACTTGGAGCCACAGGCCGCACCACTGCAAAATAACCAGGAGCCATCTGCTCAGGTTAGAAACACCATTTGATATTACAGTTTCGTTTTACATTTTTATTTCAAACTAAACTAAAACTCAAACACATATTAAGTGCCTATATAATTTAAGAATAATTTTCAATTTAATTTCACAGGCTCAACAACTGCTGCCCAATTTCGTTAAGAAAGGTGAAAATATACCTAATAACGACGCGGGTATCGAAGCTGAATTAGAATTATTAACATTACAACATTCTAACAACAACTACACAGACGCATCAGGAGTATTAAACCACAACGTAATGAATACTCTACTATATAATGGAGATAAACCTAAACGTGATAGTCCAACTGACAACTCAAATACAACAAACCCAGCGGACGAGTCTGTAACGGGACAAAAGGAATTTGTTTACGGCCATGTCAATGTTGACCCTATACTTTATAATATGGAACTTATAGACCAGAAAACCTCAAATGAACATATCGATAAGCCAATAACTACAAATCAACAAAATAATATATCTCTGTCTGACGGATTTGACAGTAAAAAAGTAAACATCACAGACAGCGAACATGACAAAAATAAAACAGTGACAAATTCTACTACCAGCAACGGTCTAAATAAGAATGCTGACCAAAGCAAGCTAAACCCAGAAAATGATTATTCTGACATAGGTGAAGCCATCAAACTGATAAGTCGCTATGCCGAGGTATCAACGGACGACAATTTTAAAAGTGATCAAAAGAAATATGAAATTAAAGAAGATGGTATTCTCGGAACTCGTACAAAACTACAGTATCGGCGAAATAAACCTAAACCGACAAACACTAAAGAATCTATACCAAAACAGAGTGAAACGAAACAGTCTCACACAGATCAATTGTTTACTCAAAGTTTTTTACCTAAGAACGAGCCATTTTATAGATACCCATGGCCTAGTCAACACTTCCCAACCCCACCTCCAAATTATCCTTTCCGTCATGTACAAGATTATTGGCCTGGCAAAAGTCATATTGGCGGCGTATACAACACTCATGAAAATCCGAGACGACACCACCATTCGTATCCGCACTATCTAAGACCTCATAATTATTATCCAGAATTACAAGAACCGTACTCCAATCATTATCAGGAATATCAGACACACAGGGTCGTTCAAAGGCACACAAAACCGTCTCGGTCTCCAGCTAATAACCAAAATCTATACAGCCTTCTCGGTTTGCGACACTGGTTTAGTAACGAAGATATTTCCAAAAGATAGCTTGTTTCTTTTAATTAGACAATTGATGTTACCCGACGACGTGTAATGGAAGCTATGGATTTCTATGCTTATAATATGCATAAATATAAACGCACTGCGTACCCATACATACTCCTTATTAACCTTACTCGAATCTGAAGTGACCAGTATTTGATAATATTATTTCAAAGTCGTTCAAAATAATTAACTCCTTTAATTACATTTTAGGCTGTGGTGGAACTAATCATGAAATATCAATCAATCTATTTTATCAATCATTTTATCCATGGCTTTCATTATACCATTATTTATTTCAAAGCCAAATATTACAGTCATAGTTTAGTACCTTGTTAGACGTTTTAAATTAATGTAAATATTATGTCTTTAAATTAAGTGTTTTAATTAATTTGCTGCTGAAATTGTTCATTTAGTATTATTTAAATTGTTTCATAATTTTTATGTTAAATGTAAATTGTTATTTTTAACTAATGTGTCTTTATTATTTGCTATATTTTTATAATTTTTTTCGTTGTGAGTGTAATAATTGTCTAGAAATATATATATATATTTTGATATCTTGTCGGTTACATTCTGTTGTAGTTCTTTGTTTAGTAATCGGCACTGGTTGCCCTATTAAGTAAATATTATGTGTAGGTAGTCGACAAATGTCAGAATATAATTTAATTTCGTATTATATTTTTAGTTCAAATGTTATTTCTTTACAATAACCAAATTTCGGACAATTGAAACCCACCTACAAGAAAATAATTGTTTTCTCGTGTTCTTGTAATTCTATCGCTTTGCTGACGGCAGTATTACTATTTATGTGGCGAAGGTGCCGGTATTGAATTTTATAAAACCTTTTCGGAACTCATTAGTGTAGATAGTACTATTAATGTTACCCTGTAACTGGCCGTACTTATTCTCGTTTTATTACAATATGTTTTATCTGCCAAACAAAAACCGATGATGTCTAGAGATTTCCCTTGTTCGTTGTACACGAAAAATTTATAGTGAGTGCACAAAATTTTATAATGTCTTCGTTATGGTAAATCATATTTACTTTTTTAATTCTCTTCTTTGAACCTGCTGACATTGGAGATAAAGAAAATTAAAGAAGGAGGACAAATGCTTACTAATTTACGATAAACTGTACCTACGTACACTGGGTCGATAACTTCTTTTGCCAAAATTGAACATTTATATATGACTATTAAAATTAAGATAAACATAAAAATGTAAAAATAATTTAAAAATAAAAGTTAAATTAACAAATTCTATGAGATTTCTGAACTATATTTTATTAATGAAACTAAATTATAGGAAAAAATTGAGCACTATTAACAAATTTTTCATATATAGTAAGTATGTAATCGGAATACGATTGGCATCTTAAATGAATATATATATATATATATAAAACTACTCTACATCAAAAATATGCTACACTGACATTTTCTCAAGATATTATTTTAAACATTTATTATTTCCTAAAAATAATACATTTCCAAAAATAATGACTGCACCTATTTACCTCCGATTTAACCGAAGCGATTGCCGAATGGACTTGCCGCGTTAAAATAAAAACCGTAATATTTTTTGCAGTTCTATGTATTTTCAATAGAGTTCAATAGCGAAAGTTTTGATTGCGAAAGATCACTTTACATATGAAATAAATCGTCACTGTCCTCGTAGCATATACTGTGGGAAGTCTGATTTATATCACAATATCATGACTGTCATCTATCTAGTTAATTTACTTATTACCGAACTATACACAATAACGATCCCACCAAAGTTTATATTAAGCTTTAGTTTTTAACACAATTGTAACATTACTATTGGAAAAATTAGTATAAACAATTTAAATAAGATATAAAAGTTTGTCATCATGTTGATAAATAAGGAAGTTAATGTGGATTCATCAAAATATTTTATAACTTTAACAAAAATTTTCATAGAAGTAATATGAGGCTTCTTAAATGATAAAACAAATATCAACAAGATGCTTCTTTTAAACCAGTGCACCAATAATATTTAGACTATTGCCTAGAGAATACTGAATACCATAAACTTATGTTGGTGTTCGATAGTCTTCTTCATTATTGACAGTACGAAAACGGCCGACGCGTTTCTTAAAATATTGCAATGCGTTGAAGCCGATTTAGTACAAAGTCGCATGTCTAGATACATAATGTTATATGAATTATAATACGGTATACTAATATACGATCTTAAATTAGATGCTATTATTGATTATAATAATTGCGAATATCAAGACAACTTTTGTACAAATAATTAAGTGTTTATGAGTAATAATTAATTATCTACATATATATGTATCTTATTCGAAATTAATATTTCTATTAACCTATCACGATTTACAAAATATAAGATCAATGCCAGTATTTAACTGTAAATATGGATGTTACATTAAATGAAATGAATAAAAATATATCTGTTTTTATTTCTCTGATACTTTCAACTATACCTACATAATAAAAATATATGTTATTAAATTCTTGTTTGTGCATACGGCTGCATGTCGGGTTACCGCCAAAAAATTCCTTAATTTATTTTAAACTCTACATTCAACGCATTACAGTTTAAAATCAAGTGGAGAAATTTACAGTTTTGTATAACCTGACATGCCGTTACAGTACTTACGACTTACCTTTATACAATAAATAAATTCAAAGAGTCTACACTGAATCGATTCCCGCAAGAATCGTAAACTAATTTTCTAAATTCTTTTATGGATGATGCGATGTCATAAAGATATATCGAAATCGGATAAGCAGTTGTTTTTATAAAAAAAATACCTAACAGTTTTCCCTCGACTTCGCTTGCGTAAATTATAGCCAATATTACCGCGTATACCTAGTGTAGCTTCTTGTGACAGATTTTAAAAATCGGTCCAGTTGTTTCGAAACTGATTCAACGTAAAAATACATAAAATCTTTTTGATTGTAAGTATGTTTTCACTCCACTTTATAATTTGTGTACTTATAGGTAGATACCTAAATGGAAGCATTCTGCCAAACAATAATCTCAGTAATCAAAAACTTCATATATCCCTGAAAATATTAAAATAAAAAACCTACTTCAAAAACATCAATAATACATATCTTAAAACCTTTTTATAAGGATGGTAATTATAAATAACCTACACAAATAACGAGACGAGTATTATTTCTCACGTTCTTGAAATTGGTTGTATTTTTTTCTAAAAAAAATAATTTTAATATTTTTATTTACAAAAGGTCCGTAATAGTTTGAAATAAGATTTTTCAGAATAAATATTAAAAACGATATCTCCATTGCTAGAGGTCCATTTTTATGGGTTCGAGCCCCATGTCTGTCACATGAAATTCGTAAAAAAGTATTTTCCTTTAGGATAATTTCCTATAAGAATAAATGTATAATATAACATCGAAAACTACAATTTAACGTATAAATATAAAACTGTTCAGTTGAAGAATTACTATAGCAACAAGTAACATTACTTCCTGCACTGCGCAAACGGTATATCGCGCGTGCGTGTCTGACTTGCTAGACACCAAACGTTGGCATTGAGTTGGTAAATTTCCCTGAACGGCGACATTTAGGTACATCACCAATATAATACAAACAAAGGAAATAGTATAACTCCTACGACGTATGGCACCTAAAGGCCTATTTTATTTATCCTAAAACGAAAGCACGGGTGTAGACAGTAAACGAAAATAAATACATATTATATTTTAATGGTAGTGTTTAATATACTATTATCCTTTAACGCTTATTATACCTGTGATATTGCTAAATTTAATTATAAAAAATCAAATATTTTATACTCGTTGTCACGTGAACGCAAACAGCGCATGACGTCACGCCCCTCTTACTCATATCAGAACTTAGAGTCAGTGATTCTCAACCACTGTGCCGCGGCACTTTTGTGTGCCGCCAAATTTTGCAAATACATAATAATGTTAATATTATTAAATTATATCATTTAAAAAGAAAAATATTTTTAACATGAATATATATTTAAATCCACAAAAAAATAAATAAATATTATTTGCTTTGCAACACGTTTTTTCTTAGTGCCAAATTATGATGAAGCGGCGTGCATAGCAATAGGAATATGTCTCAAGTCGGCGCACACTTGCCACTTCTGCGTACAAAACGCGTTGTTTTAGTGATAGTTGGGATTCACAAGGTGTTGCATAGTAGTTACTGCACCTTTTCTTTCGTTAAAATTGGCAAATGTATGTGATTCGGTTTAATATTAATTTATTTGCATGTAGTGTCAATTTATAAATTTGTAAACCAAAAAAGCTTTAAACATATTATTACAATTTTCCACATCTTATTTGTGTGAATTCGGATTTTCAGCATTAGCCAACATTAAAACTAAAAAAGATCAAGATTGTTAAATGTAGAAGACGATATGAGAGTAGTATTGTCATTTTTACGACCAAATATAAATGAAATTATCAAAAAACATCAAGCTCAAATTTCGCGTTAAAAATATTTTTATTATTAGCTTGTAATTAATCCCTTAATAAACGTTTAGTTATTATTGTAGTATATATTAGTTTATTTCGTATATTTAAAATGTTTGTCATAAACTATTTATGCAGTGTGTTGTAGTAAATAATTTTTATCTTTTTCTTTGTGTGCCGCCAAATTTCGAAATCGTTAAATATGTGCCGCAACAAAAAAAAGGTTGAGAATCACTGACTTAGAGAAACCTTATGCATACATAGAAAGACATTAGTTTTAAAGGAGCATGACGTCATAACGACGCCATGACAGGACATGACGTTTTCGCGGGAAATTTTGATATACACACCGTGCCACATGAATAGGACCAGTGCATTTTCCTTTGCTCTTTCAAATATGAATCAAAATAAATATCTAGAAATAAAAGGTATTTAAATCTTAAGACATGCCACGTTTAACTATAAACAATTGAACACCAAAAACACTCAACAAGGCGCTCGCAACAATTCCCATAGTCAATGTGCCGCGCCACTTGAATACGACCATTAAATAAAATATAATATATATTATTATTACATTTTATTATTAACATTTTTTATTGATTAATAGTCAATGCCTTTTCCATTCTTTTGAATTAAATAAAAAATACGGGATAGCATCGAGTCGTATAGTTTTCTTATAAATGTAATTGGTAATTTGCTCCAACACTTAATTATACCTTCCTAGAGCTCGTGCTTGGTGTTATATTGTTTACTGTTCTTACAAACTTCACGTGACAGCCATCCTCATACATTTTCAATAATGTTCAGGTCGGGGGAGAGTGATGGCCAATCGAGAATATTTATATTATTTTGTAGAAACCACTCGCGAACGTTACGTGCACTATGAATACTAGCATTATCATGTTGAAAAATAAAACCTTCATTCTCTATTGCACTGCTAAGCTTACATTTCTCATTCTGCATAAGTTTGATGTAACTTTTAGAGCTTTGTCTATCTTCCATTACCACTAAACTATACGGTCCATTATATGATATTGCATCCCAGATCATTACTGACCCTGTATCGTTTCGCCGCCGTGATAAAATTATTTGACTTTTTCGAAAATCATGAAAATATTAAAAAAAGTTTAACTTAGAAGGCCCTGATGGGTTTTCAGTATTCTTATTATGTTTGATCTGTGGTATTTGATCTGGGGTGCAATATCATATAATGGACTGATTAGTTAAGTGGTAATAAAAGGTAGACAAAGCTCTAAAAGTTACATCAAACTTCTGCAGAATGAAAAATGTAAGCTTAGCAGTGCAATAGGGAATGAAGGTTTTCTTTTTCAACATGATAATGCTAGTATTCATAGTGCACGTAACGTTCGCGAGTGGTTTCTACAAAATAATATAAATATTCTCGATTGGCCATCACTCTCCCCCGACCTGAACATTATTGAAAATGTATGAGGATGGCTGTCACGTGAAGTTTGTAAGAACAGTAAACAATATAACACCAAGCACGAGCTCTAGGAAGGTATAATTAAGTGTTGGAGCAAATTATCAATTACATTTATAAGAAAACTATACGACTCAATGCTATCCCGTATTTTTTATTTTATTCGAAAGAATGGAAAAGACATTGATTATTAATAAATAAAAAATGTTAATAATAAAATGTAATAATAATATATATTATATTTTATTTAATGGTCGTATTCAAGTGGCGCGGCACATTGACTATGGGAATTGTTGCGAGCGCCTCGTTGAGTGTTTTTGGTGTTCAATTGTTTATAGTTAAACGTGGCATGTCTTAAGATTTAAATACCTTTTATTTCTAGATAATCATTTTGATTCATATTTTAAAGAGCAAAGGAAAATGCACTGGTCCTATTCATGTGGCACGGTGTGTATTTATTTTAGATTTTAACTAATTTTAAGAATAATACTTTGTTATGGGTATATTTTTAGGTATATTTCATGTGATGTCTATTATATAAAATATAAAAGATGTCTAAAAATCCTATTCGGAACTAAAATTTAAAAATTTATTAGAATAAAAATTTATTAGAATGAAAAACTGCAGACTGTTTATTCAATTCATACTGTCGCAGTGTCGAAAAGCATCGAAGCGGTAATCCAAAATTTAATAGAGGAAATTCACCCTTATCCCATGAACATTTAAATAAGAAAAAAAAAAGACTTTAAAAATATAAACATTACGTTCTTGAAGGGTCAAACTTACAAATTTCATTGACAAATTTGCTCTAATTGTGAAGAATTTAATTCTTCGGTGCTCTACTCCAGTGCTTGACTATTACGTCTTTCTGTGTTCTGTGATCCATATGAAGTCTTTGGGTAAATACAAATAATTTTTTTTACTGAAAACACTTTTTATTGAAAAAAAATATTCAATTTTATCAATAACATTGATGAATAATTAATTCCTACAAGTTCCACATTTAATATTAACTTGTTCAGTGTTAGAGATTCCCTGTATGTACTTGCATATACTTATATACAATAATATTTTCTCAATTAGTAATGGGTAACTACAATGAAACAAAATCATAACTCACAATTATTACTACTTATTCACAAGTAATTTGTACAAAATATCACAACAATAAGGAATTGGCCAATAAACTAAAAACCATAAGATTAAAAGAAAACAAGACTAAAGAATATAAGAAAAGAGTATTATAGTTTCACTAAAAATATAGATAGTTACAATATGTATTTATAGGTACACAATATTTTTACAAGAAACATTGAACAGAAGTATACGCAAGAACATTTATTTGTTAACATTGTTCATGATAAGCAAAAATGTAACTGGGATGGTTTATTCTGCATGATATCTATAAAATGTTTAAATCAAACATTTTAATCTTACATAATTGAAAAACTTAATATTCTTAATATTTTATGTCTTTTTGACTGGAGACTTAATGAACAAGTAAGTACTAACGGACACAAATACAAATTCATAATTCAATGTTTCCAGAAAATTATTTCATCTGAACTCATAAATTTGAATGCTGTGTTCGGGGACATGGCTTAAAGTCAACGATTGATACCTGAAAACAAAAATAAAACTATGAATAATTTTTGTCATTTAAACTATACATCTAGAAATATTGTAACATCTCAACTTGGACTTTCTCTTATTCAATATACTTTTATTTAAAAGCAATGATTGACCAAACTGACCAAAATGACCAAATATCAAATATTAATCTAATAAAGAAAGCAATTGTCCAATTATTATGGTCACACAGGTAAACAATTATATTTAGTACAGGATTTTATTTAAAAAGACACTACACAACCAGTACATACTGTAACTAATACAGCAGTATATCAAGTTACTACAAATAATGCAATCAATTTTGAATTTAACTGCCTACAGATTAAAGCTTAAAATTACACTCATCTGAAATCAGAAATTAATAAACATACATTGATATGTACAATTAATAATTTTAGGTACTTATCAGAATTATGTTTTGGAAAGTTTTGAACTTATAATATTTTTTATTGACTAATTAACATCCAGAGTTCTAGTTTCCACAAATAGTGCCACATTATCTTCACTTTCACTTATCAATAAAAATCTTTTCTTTATATTTTATTTCATACAGATTATGAAATTTTTAAAATTTTCACTTACCACTCAGAGCTTCTGTGGTAATAATAACCTTCTATAGTTGCAGCCGATTTGTGGAAGCATATATAGTAGAAACCCGCAAATGAAGCACCATTTATATCCTTGATTGTATGATCCGGAACTAAAAAATGTTCTTTCCATCTCATAAATACATAGTCAGCCTTAGCAAGAGACTCATAGTCAAATGAATCAGAATTAAATGTTTTTAAATAGGGCACAAACAGGTCAAATTTGCTCTGAAACAAAGTAGTCAATAAGTATTTTATTCTTGCAAAATACTTTTAATTAATATTTAATGATGGTAAGTTTCTATTTTTAACAGATCTCTATACATACCCAATGTTTCCTATCAACATCTTCATCAGCATCCCATTTTCTTGTAAGAAAAGGGTATTTAGCTGATATAATTTCTCCATCGAAAAAGGTTGTAAGAGTAGGAAATTCTTCTGTTAAGCCTTTGATTTTTAAGTATCCACAAAGATATGAATTCTCTTCATCAACATGCTGTAAATTATGTAAAGTATAACAATTTTTTTTTTTTATAAACAGGCACAAAAGGGTTCTTTAATTTTACATATTTGCACTCTCTTCGGATCTCCTGCTAGATTCAAGAAAGTTAGTTTATTTCTAATGTAAGCGGAAGTATGATACGGTAGATTGCTACGTTTTCGTTTTAGTGAAATCAAATTCAATCATTAAGACTAAGGAATTATAAGAGAACACTAATTATAATTTAGAATACTCAAAGATAATATACATTTTATAGAAAGCTAAACAGAATTGCGTACTTTGTTTTCGTTACTAACCTGCAAAACCACTTCGACCTCATAGGAGTTTCCTTTACTTTTCTGATGTCCTTGAAATTTAGAACCGTTGTATAATAAGGATTTCGTTACACCAGGCTGTTTCGAATTTGCTGGTGGTGGTGGTGTAATATCAACTTTAACTGGCATATTTTTCCATGAAAACGGTGTCCCAGCTTTTAGTTTTGAGTTTGACAGCTAAAGAAAGTCACTCACACAACAGAATCAGTCACTTGCTGATGTTGACAAATCTTCCTTCCAGCAAATTCTAATACGATTCTTTAAAAGTACAAATTTCGTAATGAACTCATTTGATACTTATTTATATATTTTCCTATACAAATTAAAAATTGTTATTATGACTATTTAAAAAAATGTAAAGCACAGTGGCTCAGGTGGGTTAAACCATAGAGAAGTTTGAATACCGGGGGCCAAACCTGAAACCACAGAATCTATTTTGTGGCCAAAATATGGGCCAAACCAACGCGAACTACTTGCTTAGTTGCGACACAATTCGTTCACATATGTCTGTGTTCATACACGGATGTATCAGACTGATCTTGAAATTTAATATTTTTGCATCCATTGTTGCCCGAGCTAAGATTTGGACTAGAGATTGCAAGCTGACTTCATTCTTAATTTTCAAGACATATCACAGGAAATGTGATGATAAAACACGTAACACTAACACTTTATTGCATATTGAGTTTTGATATGAAAACATAAATATATACATATTTTACTCTTTCATATATGAATACCGGATCCGCTCGGCGATATTATTTAAAAACTAACATTAGTTCCTGAAATCAAACTAGATGTCGCTACGGTACTTTCTTGATTTCTCCATGATAACACTTCAAAAGTAAATTAATTTTCAAAACTCAATAAACAACTCATATTATATTTGCACTTTTTCGTATTTGTATTGATATCTAAGTTTTTTAATATGTTAGTTAAAAGGAACGGAAATTACTTTCTTTAGTCCGTTCGTTTCCTGCTAAAATCAACTTTTGCTAGAGGCGCCATCTAGTGAAGATGCTTATTTAGTGCTTTCGTTTTTTTTAATACTTCCTCATTACCGTGTAAGTAATAGAAGTGGACGTTGAATGAACGAACCGTTCGCTCGATTACGTAAAAATAATTAAAACTAAATTTATTTTAAATCAATTTTTGATTTTAATGCGGTCGATTTGAATTAAAAGAATTTTGAACTTTAACAATAATAATAATAATAATGAAAAAAGTATGAAAAACGTTCATTTTCATCTTCAACAAATTTATTGAACCGTTATCGGGTCGACGACAATAAAGTTGTCTAAACAGTGTATTCTGAAAACCGTTCCATGAACTAAGTCAACTAAACTAGATGCTTCGACACAATTTTGTTGTTCCGTTCAGTCCATCTACGACATAAACTAGTCGAAAAAATATTTTTTTAGACTAGTTTATAGTGAATGACAATCTCGTTTCGTTGATCGAAAAAGCGTTGACGATCCACCCCTAGTAAGTGATGTCACTATGATGCTACTAAGTTAAGTTGTCATTTATTTATACAAGATTAAGAGAATATAACGACCTTTTAATCTGGTAGGCAAATTAGTTGTTATGAGTCGGATAGCTATTTTCAACCTTTACATGTTTTCTATGCTTTAGTTATTATTATAAGTTCTGTACTATACATGCATTAAGTATCACTTTTATTAAAATATTCGTGATTATACCTAAATAAATAAACACTAAACACAACAAGTTGTAGATTTTATGTAGTTTTACCCTAGGATTGGTGTGGCAGCACTGGATATTTTGTCTATGGTCTAATGGTAGTAGAGTAGGATTTCTTCAGGTTTCTTCGTTTCGTTGGTTTCGTTGAACGATGTACTCGTTTCGTTATTTTGTTTTGTTTTGAGATTTAATTTTGGTATGATATGTATATTTTAGCGCTAAAACCCTATGTATTAACTTACAGTGCTAAAACGTGTTGTTGTTGTTACGTACCTTACCTCAAACGTTTTGTGATGTCTAAGCAATATTAGTGATATTTTCCCACATAATTATGGTTAACTGACGTTAGACTGTGCATCCTCAATTATGGCAGACCCAGGTTATTACCACAGTGATTATATTCGTCATCCAATATTACACGAACTGGGTGTCAAGTATGGCATCAAAACTGAGTGTATTCCAGAAATAGCACTGCCGTCTAAGCTTGAGGAGCTCAAGGATGTCATACGTCGTGAAATACGTAAAGAACTCAAAATTAAAGAAGGTGCCGAAAAACTCAGGGAAGTAGCAACGGACCGAAGATCTCTTTCTGACGTTGCTAATATTGTAAAAAAAGCCAATGCTAAACTCAATGAACTCAAATCAGATCTTCAGGAGTTGGAGTCCCAGTTGCTTCTGTCTCGCGGACAGTCTACGCCTACATCTCCTGAAGATTTATCATATGATGAAGAGATCATATTGGCGTCTGAAGCAGCACAGCAACAAAGGCAGCTTGGGGAAGCTACAACAGATCGCAAATTGGCAACTCTTGAAAAACAATTGAATATTGAATTAAAAGTTAAACAAGGTGCTGAAAATATGATACAGAGTATCAGCAGCAGTAACCAATCGAGAGATAAAAAGTTGCTAGCAGAAGCTCATCAGATGCTTGCAGACTCTAAAAATAAAATAGAATATTTAAAATTACGAATATCTAAATTAATAAAACAACAAAAAGGTGATATTGCTGGGTCTAATGGAGATGGAAGAAATTCTGATATAAGTGGTGTAGATGCTATGCTTGATGAACGAATTGCTGAACTCAGAAACCGACTTAGAATAGAAGCAGCGGTTGTTGAAGGTTCAAAGAATGCCATACGACTCTTACAAAGTGATAAGAAGGTAACTGACAAGAAAGCACTCCAAGAAGCACAAACTAACCTTCTTGAATCGACACAAAAACTTGACTTACTACGTAGATCTTTGGATATGCGTCGTCAAGAACTGCCTTCAGAAAGTACAGCATTTATTGAGTTAGGCAATGAGCTACGTAGTACTGGCTCTAGCCCTGGATATATAAGTCTCTCAGGTGGTGGTGGTTCAAAATCCCAATTTTCCATGCCAGCACCTATGATCAGCCCCTGCGTACAAGTTACAGGCACTCTCGAAGTTAGATTAATGGGATGTCAAGACTTATTGGAAGATGTACCTGGTCGTAGCCGACGTGATCCATTAGCAAGCCCGTCTGATTTAAAATCATTTGTTAAAGGTGTTACTATCCGAAACTCTATGAAATACACATATAGCATCAAGGAAGACACAAGCAATGAAATAATGGCAGTGTTAAAACTGGATAACCATTCAGTCGCACAGACTAGCTGGAGGCCATGTTCTCAACAGGCATGGGACCAAAGGTATTTTTTTAATAGTTACTTAGCTATAAATGGTCTATCTAGAAATGCCTGTGGCACTTTATCATTTTATTTTATTTACAAATATCTATAATTTCTGTGAATGAAAAATTTATCATATAATTAGATATCATACTTTTGAATTATAATATGTGCACCTTACATTATTGTCAAAATCAGTCATTTATTTTATCATTAGTATCTCTACTTCCTTGAATCAAGTAATCTTGTGTTTTACTATTACTCATTTTATCTTATCAGAAACTGCAGCACATGTTTGTTATGTGAATAAGGTATTAAATATACTAATTTTAAAAAGGTTCTTTAACTACTTCCCTTAGGGTGTGGACCATGTATAAGATGCAAATAATAAATAAATATAGAATAATCTGTGTGAAAAATATGAAACTCAGAAATACAAATTTCCACTTTAGATTTTCATAAATCTAACACAACACCCAGATCTGAAACAGTATAGAAAGTTAATTTTCTTCAATGATCTGATCAAGAATCTAACCATGGAAGTTAAAATATCAAATTAATGCAATTGATTTTGAAAACCAACAACAGTTTAAATTCATTTTGTTTAACTTCACATGCTGTTGACTGTATAAGCAATCAACCTTTAACACTTTTTAAGTGAAGTGTAAGTTGAGTTTTTAATGGGAAATAAATTATGCTAAAAGTAAATTATTTTTTATTATGAAAGTTTCTTTATCATTATGTAAATGATATAAAAATATAAACAAAGAAAGATGGTCTCCTCGAACTTCACAGAGATGTGAAGAATACTTTTTTCAAAATGTTTTGACTTAGTTTTTGAGACAATATATCATTCATTAATCTCTCTTATTGACTAGCAAATGGAGCTTGTATCATATGTTTTTCTGTTCTCAGATTTACTATCAAACTGGACAAGTCAAGGGAACTAGAAATTGGAATTCATTGGAAGGATTGGCGTGGTCTCTGTGCTGTTAAATTTTTAAGATTAGAAGAATTTATTGATGACATTCGTCATGGTATGGCTCTGGAACTTGAACCACAGGGTCTTTTATTTGCAGAAATAAAATTTTTGAATCCCATCATATCAAGAAAGCCAAAACTCCAACGTCAAAGAAAAATTTTCAAACAGCAAGGAAAAAATATTCCAAGACCTTCCTATGGAGAAATGCATATACCAGCTGTTGTACTTGGTAGACTGTTAAAGCGATCCTCGCCTTCTATACAAAATATACAAACTGCTCATATTAACCAACAGCCACATTTTGAAGCTGGAGCTTTAGACAATAGAGATGCTGAAAATCCACATGCAACACTTGGTGGGATGGCTGGTATTAGACCTTTGGGCTTACCTTCTACTCCCACAACGCCTCAAGTTCCAATTACACCTCCACCGAAACCTACTCTTCCCCTGCACCCTCCTCCAAATGTTTCTACATTAAGAATGGAAAAAGAGCTTCAAGAAGCTTTTGCTTTTTTAGAAGATTCTTATACTAGAGATAATTATGTCACAAAAGAACCTACAACACCATCGTGTGATACTCCTTTAGTAGAATATCCACCATCACCATCACCCAAACTTGTTCTGGAGTTTCCTAGTAATGAGGACCAAATTGTAGAAATAACAAGAGAAATGCAAATATCATCCTCTCGTTCATCATCATCCATTATAGAAACAGTAGGGAAGGAACAAATAGGGAGAAAACTGTCAAATGAAATGTCTATGAACAGTTTTAGATTGCTAAGTGTTCTAGGAAGAGGGCATTTTGGTAAAGTTATACTAGCTCAGTACAAACCCACTAATGAATATTTTGCAATAAAAGCATTAAAAAAAGGTGATATTATAGCCAGAGATGAAGTTGATTCTTTATTATCTGAAAAGAGAATTTTTGAGGTAGCTAATGCCATCAGACATCCATTTTTGGTAAATCTATTTGCTTGTTTCCAAACCGATCAACATGTCTGTTTTGTAATGGAATATGCAGCTGGAGGTGATTTAATGATGCATATACATGCAGATGTCTTCACTGAACCAAGAGCAGTGTTTTATGCAGCTTGTGTAGTGTTAGGTTTACAGTATTTACATGAAAATAACATTATTTACAGAGATTTAAAACTTGACAATCTTTTGTTAGACACAGAAGGGTATGTAAAAATTGCAGATTTTGGTTTATGCAAAGAAGGCATGGGATGGGGTGACCGTACTGGAACATTTTGTGGTACACCTGAATTTCTAGCCCCAGAAGTGTTAACAGAAACATCTTACACGAGAGCTGTTGACTGGTGGGGCCTTGGTGTCCTCATATTTGAAATGTTAGTTGGTGAATCGCCTTTCCCAGGAGAAGACGAAGGTGAAGTATTTGATTCCATTGTGAATGATGAAGTGCGTTACCCTAGGACTTTGTCACTTGAAGCTATTGCGTTGATGCGTCGCTTATTACGAAAAAATCCTGAACGACGGCTAGGTTCGTCAGAGAGAGATGCTGAAGATGTGAAGAAGCAGGCATTCTTCCGCAACGTTAATTGGGAACAGTTACTACTTCGTAAAGTAAAACCACCATTTGTGCCAACAATAAACAATTTAGAAGATGTGAGTAATTTTGATAGCGAGTTTACATCTGAAGCAGCGGTACTTACACCCCCTAAAGAACCCCGAGCACTTACTGCCACAGATCATAAACTTTTTGATGATTTCACATATATGGCTGATTGGTGCTAGGCCTAAAAGACATGCAATTTATAAAAATTCTCTAATAAAAACCCCAATGCCTTACAAGTGTGTAAAAACTGTATTTTGATTATATCTAATGTTATTTCTACTGAAGAGCATCTTGATTAGACAGTCTTGTTAACTTGTATTAAATGCAGTTGAATGCAATATTTTATAATAAATCATGTAATTTAATACTGTAAGTTTTAAATAGTGCTAATGTTTATTTTTTTAAAACATCGTGTTATAGATTATTATATATGATATAGTTATGAAATGATTAACTTAGAATGTAACATTTAATAAATATAACTAATATTAATATGAGTAAGTGGAAAGCGTGTCAAAACATTATTACAGTTTCAGTCAATTGATTACTTATTCAAAAAATAAAGGTATTATAAACAATTTTATGTTTATTTATTCACTAAACTGCCAGGATATAAGTATTACCTGCTTTTACCATATCACACCCACTCTTATTAAGTAAGTATTCGAGCCATCTATACTCCATTCATTATAGCATTAGACAGAAGTGAAATAAGGTTCTTTTTATGGTATACTTTGTGACAAAATATCAATAATCATGTTACTTTTAAGACTGACGGCTAATTTGCTACATATTCACTTAAATATCAGCTGCTATACTTAACTGTTGTCATTTAAGCTAACTATTAAACAAATTTATGATTATATGACTAACTTAAATGACTTAATAAGTATTACAATAAAAAGTGTCCATCGTAAAGAACCTAAAGAAGCAGGGTTGGATAGTTTCGGCACGATTCTGATGTCACTATAACTCTACCAAATTTAAAACGTTGCCTAACCCCTTCAAGCGTTTTTTCAATTTATTCATAATTGTTAAAATCGTAATCTGGGATTGTTGGATGACAATGTGAATGCTTGTGAATGCTATGCCTTTCTTGTTGTTTAGCCGTTTTCCATGATATTATTTTTTTTATTTTTGTTGTTAAGTTTTGGTAAATATGGACGATGCCGGTACAGGCCCGAGGGGCCTACAAAAATTACGCTCTAAGCCCCCATACCTACCCTCAAACTTTGACATTTCAGGGATTTTTTCCAATGTCTTCATCAATAGTCTAACTTATTACACTTACAATTAGAATTTATCAAAACACACAGATAGTTTCAATTTTAGTTCCATGTTGGCTTGGGACTAAAAGATGAATTTATAAAATGCTGGCCTCATCTCAACCCCGAGGTATCATAAAAAATGGAAAATTGCCCAGCTCTTTCAGACTACCTAACGTTCAAAGTTTCAGCAAAACAAATATGGATTTTTCAAATTTATCTTGAAAATAAAATGTTCTGCACTGCTGCTTCTATGACCCTCTTTTTTCTAATGTTATAGTGAATGAATGAATGCCAATGGGATGGCTTACAACTATAGGCAGTTCCCCATAACTTTGTAATTTTTATATTCCGCAGAGACCCAACTTTTGACGTTAAACTTTTATATGTGTGAAGAATGAACCCCTTGAGCTCACTTTACAGCATTGGTAAGATTGCGATAGTCTACAAGCCCTATTTCGTAACGGACGTCCGCTACAAAATAGAAGGTTCCTATGGTACCTACTTAATTATCATTAGCCTGTTAATGTCCATATAGCTGGGGAACGGGCGTTCCATGTGGATCGAGTGAAAGACGGAATATAGGCAATAGACAACGCAGGCCCAATTTACGGATTGATTGGCAAATGCAGTTTTATGCCTTTAAAAGCCTAGAGCCAGAGATAGTAATTTTTGGTTACCCAATCGGAGGGACCCCTGGGAAAATTACGTAACTATCGTATCACAGATCGAACCTCCAGAATACTAACACCGATCGCGGAGACTTGAAATGTGGAGTGTATATTCATAATAATAGAAACAATCTAGGTTAGATTTGCTATACTAGATGACGTATTAAAGGTATATTTTAAATACTAATAGTATTAAAGGTGCTAATAGTAAAATACTAGTTACCTAAATGGCGTTTGTATTTAAATCGCGCCATCGTTTCGTCCAAAGATTTTCAGTTGCGTCCCTTAAAGGCCGGCAGCGCTTGTAGCCCCTCTGGTGTAGCAGGTGTCCATGGGCGACGGTAATCACTTACCATCAGGTGATCCGTCTGTTCGTCTGCCCCCTATCCCATAAAAAAAAGTTGCATAAATGATACCTTTGATTATATATTATCAAAGATAGGTACCTACATATCTTTCGCAATTATTATATTATATGACAATATCACATTAATTACTCAAACCCGTAGTTAGTAAAATAAGAAACTAAAGCACTTGTATTATGGAAATCTGAAACAACGAATGTACCACAATATTCAAACCCGAGATAATAACGGGTGGAACAAAAGTCATAACGAAGCCGAAAGGTAGATGTTGGGGGGTCATCAATACTTCAAATGTTCTAGAATCATACTGGGAAACCATGGTTCACGGAGATATTGGATGTTAATAGAATTTTATCGATAATTTCAAAGTTTCGGCCTGCGCGCACGTTTTTTAAGCATTTTGTATTAAGAATATTTTTCAGTATAGCATTGTGAATGCGAAATTGATCAAATATAACTTCAGTTATGTTTTAGAACTGTTACATTAATTATTAACTTTATTGACGATTTTTTAAATCGATAAGTAGGTAATCAGGAATTGCGATGCCTTTAATAGAGACACACGCAGACATGTTTGTCCGGAACATCGCGTTGCAACTTTTAATGTCGTTTCAAAAATGTTTCCACACTAGAATGTTATAAAATACTCAAATACTATTCTCCCCATATAACTACATGGACTCAATGTAAAAGCCCAGATACTTTTGCCTGCTTAAAAAATAGAGCAACAACATCATATCCTATTTTCCTTTATGAGTTCAAACTTATCATTTGTAAAACCTCATTACTGTTCGTGATTTTATAACAGCCTGAAAAGATTACTAGGTCGATTAGTACTTAATATCTACAAATACAAAAAAATTAAGGTTTATTTGGGTGCGAACCAAGCTCTCCTATTGATAAATTTCCGGCGACAATTCATGTCGAACCTTAATCTCTTATCGCGATGGTCGATGTTTTAATATGGCAGTGACGGAAATTGAATCTTCTGTCTTTTAGTAGTCACACGCGCTTATTGGTAGACACGCAGCAACAAAAGGTGATCAATGAAGCCGCCTACGCCAGTGGCTTACTGCGATTTTTTTTTTGTAATTCGCTAGTTCGCTCTCTTACGTGTAAGCAATCGAAAGTGTTCTTGCTCGAGCGTGCTCGCGAATTTCGCTATTTCTTTCAGTGTTTTCAGTGACTGTGAGTACATAGAAATGATTCCGAGAAAATACCGGAAGGCAAATCACATCGTGAGGCCAGTTCGTGAGCGGTTAACGAAGATGTTCGGTGACCAGTGGATCTAGCGGTACGGACCTCGCATGCGTCTCCATGTGGAAGGTCGCTAATTTAAATCACACCTGGTACGTTTGGAAAGGCTATTGGGTGATGTCGACGAACAATAGTTTAGTATGCACCTACATAGACGGTTGACAGTGTTATCATATACTGCCGTTTATACACCTGTTTGTGTGAGCGCACATAGATTATGTTCACGATGATTTACTCAGATTTGTTGTGCGCGTCACATTGCGTGACAAAAGTTCATTTTCTGGTAGTATTCGTCAGTCTGACAGCGCCACCCTCTTGGAATTTGAAATGAGTTCTTGATCCACCTAATCCCTTATTTCTCACTCCGTTAAGAGATAGAGACAAATAGGCAAATTCCATAGTTTCGGACATAAACGATAGCCTTTGTGGCGCTGCCGGGCCTCCGTCATTCTGGCAGCGCCACGCTGTTTCTTCAAAACTACACCACACTACAAACGCATTGTCATAATTTTCAATATCGGACTTCAATATTACAATGGCAAAATGCAAGCCGTTGAGATTCTATTGAGATGCGATTATTACGTAAACATTAGCAGAATTGACCTGCATACGTAGCATGACGAACTCGAGAACGTTTTGTCTAGATTCAAATGTCACTTTTCTCGTACAACATCTCACTCGACCCGAGAAAGTGACATTTGGATGTAGACAAAGCATTTCTTGAGTTTGTCATGCTACATGTGCTGTTGATAATATTAAATACTATTGATATTGTTATTAGGTTCCAGATCAACTATAGTTGCGCAACTCTACTTGATAAGAAAAGGTCTTAAAATTGAGCGAACAATGTTAATATAATAATAAAACAATTTTTTAAAGATTATTTTCTAATATTACCAGTAAATACATACTGCAAAATATGAGCAAAAACTGGAATAAATTATAAACATTACATAGAAATATTTCTTCTCTGAATTAGTAAAACAGATGATAAGATAAGGGAAAATCAATATATTCCCAAAAAATGTGTAGATTAAATCATCAAAACATGGTATCATTCTAAACGTTTTAATACAAACTGTTTGAATTGTCAGACTAATCGCGACATAATTGTGCAAGAGCTTACGAAACCTTGATGTTTCAGTACCTATATTGAAGTACATCACAGTTATGTCAAAAAGTATGAGTCGCTTGGAACGTTTTAAAAATCAATTAGATAGTAAATTGTGTCACCTGAAACACAAAAGTAATCCCAATGATTTATACAAAGATTTCTTTGATATTGATTATACAGAATTCAATAACATATTTGTCCCACAAAAATAGTATAGCTAATCCTATAACTTTTAGTGTGTGTCGTTTAGCCAAATGTAATTATTTCAATGCAAAAATTAAAACTAGTAAAAATAAAGTTAAAATGACGTGGAATATCATAAATGGTGAAACTGGAAGAGAAAAATCCCGGAATACAAATTTTAATTTAAAAATTGATAATAAAAAAAGTAACATCAGATCTTGAGGTTGCTACAGTATTTGAAAATTTATTTACCGAAATTCCAGTCTTAATTACACAATCTTTAAATTACTCTTCCACTGTTGCTGGACCTATTTTAAATGCAAATTTAAATAATTGTAATAGCCAATTTAAGTTTCAATACATTGATTTTAAAGATATAATAAAATATTCAAATCAGCTAAAAAAAAAGAAAACCACTGATTTATGGGGTGATTCCATTGACATTTCCAAATCAATAACTCCAATCCTAGCTCATATATTTAATAAGTGTACTGATTGTGGTATTTTTCCTGAGCTCATGAAATATAGTGAAATTATTTCGTTATATTAATCGGGTGGCACATCTGATCCTACTCACTTTAGACTGTTTATATCCGTGCTGCCTACGTTTGGTACAATTTTTGAAAAAAATATGTTGGATCAAATACAAACATATTTTTACAAGAGAAACCATATGAATCCACAACAATTTGGTTTTACAATGGGTCGCTCAACAACCAAAGCCGGTGTCAATATAAGAAATTTTTAATGCTTGGGAGTTATGCCACATAATTCGTTAGGTTTTTTTTTTATGACCAATCTAAGGCATTTGGTTGTTTTTTTATGAAACATTGATAAGGCAACTTCATTATTATAGATTTAGAGATAACTCATTGGATTTTATTGTCTCATACTTGACTGTCAGACTGCAGAGGGTTGACATCAATGGCAAAAGATCCCCTGGATCGAAAGTTAAGATGGGTGTTCCACAGGTCTCCAAACTTGGTCCTTTCTTGTTTTTAATTTACATAAACGACTTGCCTTATTTCGATAAGTAATTACAAAATAGTTTTGTTTGCGTATGACACTTCACTTTTGTTTAAAATTATAAGAGGACTACCTCTAAGTGGCGATGTGAATAATTCTATCACTAAAGTAGTGCAATAGTTTAATGTGAATAATTTTCTCCTTAATGAAGGAAAAATAAATTGCCTAAAATTTGTACTAACTAATGTTAAAAACGTAGATATAAATATGAATTTAAAAGATAAGAACATGGGTCTTGTTGGACCCACAGTATTTTTAGGAATAAAATTGGGGCCCACATATTAATAAATTGTCGAATAGACTTAGCGCTACAGCATATAACGTAGGTTAACTGACATAGATACTGCCAGATTAGTATACTTTACCTACTTTCATAATGTAATGTCGTACGGAATCCTATTGAGGGGAAATGCTGCCGACATACAAACGATTTTTGTGCTTCAGAAAAGAGCAATTAGATCAATTTATAATAAATAGATATAGCGACTGTTGCTTCTTAACCCATATACTAGAACTTTATGTACGTTCGTTAAAATATTATTACGTTTTCTATAAAAAGTGTATTATTTTTCTCCCTCTATATATAATGTATTGATCTGGTAATGACATGGTTTTTGTTAATGTCATTACTCCTATTAGAGCTCGTGAGTTTCTTGCTCGTTCTTCTTATCAGTCAAAACATATCCTGAAAGAGTGGTAGGTAAAAAATGTTGGATGATTCTAAAGTACTTTTAAGAAGTCTATTTGAATAAAGATTATTTTGACTTTGACTTTGATATTGCATTATTAAGGTTGAAATAATTAGAGCAAACAATATGTTTCATGCCCCTCAAATACGATAGCCCTAGGCAGTTGCCTAACTTGCCTTTAAGGATAGGTCGGCAATGACCATTTAGTACTTCAACATACAGAAAATTCAAGCTTCCGAAAGCTTTTACACATTTTTGTCACAAACTCTCAGACTGTAAGAATAGGAATTAATTACAAAATTTAAAATGATTCTTAATGAAAATTGTAGGTCTGTTCTCGAAATGCAAAAATCCTTTTCTAAAATTTTTAATCCAAGATCACTAATCTTGTTAATATTTCACATTGTTAGCTTGCATATTATTAAAATAACAAAAACATTATATAATTGCCAAGAACAGACTCAAAGTTTGCACAAGTTATTCAGCTTCCCTTACAAATCAACATTACAATAGTTCATATTTCTTTCAGAAGTTTCTAGATACATTATTTACAACTAATATGAACAACATACACCTCTAAAGGAATTTTACAAAATATGTAGTATAAAAATAATAGTTTGTAATAATGTTTTTATTTTAAGTACAGGTTCTGTATCAGAACAGCAGCAACCATTAAGTTTCACTCTTGTGAGAACACAACAACCGAAGCTAAAAAATAAATATTTTACTGAATATCTTTTCGTAACTGTAGAATTTTGTTAATTAGGTAGTATTATTCTCACTAACACTGGAGTAGATAAGCCTTACAATCTATAAAAACACTAAATGATTAGTTGCAATATTTTATTGCTAAATTATCACCAATATTTTACATTTTGTTAGGGAAGCAGAATTTAACTACTCTGCATTACTTACACAGGACAAAGAATACTCTTATAGTGATTTCTAAGCTTCAAATAATATAAATCAAGTTTTTTTCTAGCTTTACATTAAACTGAGTATTCATTAATCTTGAAATGGATTACATAAGTTACCAATCAATTGACTAATATGAAACAAATCTCAGAATATAATGAAGTCATAAAAGATTAACCATATTATTGATAAAAAAGAAATGCTTGATAATCATTCTAGCTATGTATTTTGTTTCTTTCAAATTGTCCAAGTATTCTGTACATTTAAATAATTAATATTTATTTTACATTTTCAATTTTATTTTGCTTGTCCTCTCTAATAGACATGAGTGGTGCAGTACATGCAAAATTAGCTTCAAAATACACTGATAGAATGAGTTTCTAAAACATTTTCGTTTTTTTTTTATGAATAATATAGTAACCATTTTACTCTATAAATACTTATTTACACATTTCACACACAGAGATGACAGTCACAAAACAGTAGAATAGAATGCTCACATTCGTGAGCCTTTCTGTTGAAGTACCTTAGCACGATCAGTGGGTTCAACATCATTACTGTTAACAGAACTGCCACACTCCCGACTCACAATACAAAGGAATTCAGCATGTTCATCATTGCCGTAGTTGTATTGAGAACCAATATTTATTAACTGTTCAAACTTCCAGCCATCAGACATTGATGATACCATCTGTGTTAACTCTTCTTCATGGAACTGAAGTACCCTGTACACATGTTTCTTGCTATCTTTTAGAGGTCTCCTCTCTTTGAGGCGAATTCTTTCCTTTACTAATCTGATTAACTCTGTTATGTTATAAAACTCTGCTTCTTCTAAAACTCCCTCTTCTGCAATATCATTATTTATTACCAATTTACCGTGTCGAAGATAATTGAGCACTGGTGAAAAATACGTTGGATCTCTGTCTATTAAATAAGCGCCAGTTTCGTCCTGGAATGTTCACATATAATATTCAAATTAATCAAAGATATGACAGGAATCTAAAAGTGAACCTAAGAATTTCAAATTTACATACAAAAGAATACACAAATCTTACGAACCCTGTCAGAAATCAAGTCACTGTCCTCTTGAACTAATCGATACAAAAATGAATTAGGATCTCTACATAAAGTTGTTTTTGTTGTGAGAAAATAAGTCCCACCGACGTTAAGCTTTACCCATTGCTTACTACTTCGCCTCTCGTTGTTGAATTTTTGAATATTTTCTTTCAAAAAGTCTCCATGTCCAACTCGGTCCGCCATGGCCACAGGCTATAACACAAAGAGTAAAGTACATCTATAACAACAAAACAAAGAACAAGACCGTCGCTCCACCACCAGCATTATCTAAAGATACTTTTTCCTTGATTTTCTATCTGTTCCAATCTTCAGAGTCCGGGCTCCTGGTTCCAGTGAAGTTTTTTGTTTGTAGGTATAAGAAATTACTATGAATTGAAATTTAAGACGTTCGTTATTTATTGCCAGCACTGTGTTACTGTAAAAATTCAAACCCGAATTCAAATACGGTATTTAAACTTTCTGAAAACTATTTTGAATGGCTGTTTGATACATTATAAATACATTGTCAATATATTTCAAAAGCATCTGCTATATTTTTGATGAAAATAATTGTTAAAGTTTAAGTAGTCAAAATCGCGACAAAACGCTGCTCTATGTAATGGTGTCTTCACATGCTGGTAAATATGTCAAGGCGACCTAATCTATATAATAACTATTTATATACGAAGTAAACACTCATTATTACAGTTACACTATTTATTTACGAAGTAAACAAATAGTATTAGTGAAGAGAAATTGAAGTTAAATTTTATGTTTTTTATTTGTGTCTACTCTCGTTTTGTTTATAAAAGTGAGCTACAAATTGTATGTTTAAATACAAATTTTAAAAATCTCTAATAAACTGTTTTGACATGACCGCTTCCGGTTTACGTGTGACGTCATATGCCGGTAAACAGAACCTGTTATTGGTTGCGACGGTAACAAACAACAGGGCGTTTTCGTCGTTTTCGTCGTTAATTAAAATTTCTGAAAATGTTACATTTTCTCTACGTTCTTTTACTAAAGCTGAACAAAGAACAATGGCCAAAATGGACTACGAAAAAAAAGTTCTTGTACCAAGATGGAACTATTACCAAAATGTAGTATAAGTTGAATGTTATTATTATATACCAACAATTTATTTTTAAAAGCTGGGAAAAGAAAGATATTCCTCTCTAAAATAAGTCTTTATTTCTTAGAACGCAGTTTAAATTATGTTATTTTTGAACGCATCTTAATAATAATGTCATTCCTAGAGAAGTCCCTCTCTTTTCAAAGAACAAGATCGATTTTATTTCTGACTAATCGAATTGGATACAAATCTTATATTATTTACTAACCATATAAATCCGTGAAAATTATGAAACTTAGATTAGATTATTAATATAATTAGATGTTACTTAGAAGAAAATAGTTTATTTATAATGAAATTAAAAACTAATGATTAACTATAAGAATCGATATTACAGTATTAAATCGATTTCGACTTCCCTTTTTTAGACAAGTATGTGTAGACGTGTTTCTACGCAGATCGTTTTGTAACTTTGGCGGCGATTTTGTATTAACTTCTGTATTATGGGGAGCATACTAAGTTCCATGGTATACTGAGAATTGAGGTCTGTAGAGAAATACCGGATTCTCTGGATTTATTAGAATTAGACTTAAATATAAATAAAGTCCTAATTATAAGAGGTATAATTGAGCCGAGACATTGGGAGGAAACAATATTATGTGTACATTTTAATAAATAATTACACATCCGGGTTAGATGGCATAAGAGAACACTGCTGCAATTGTTTTATTGGTCGATGTACACTGGGATGCTGTGCTCATATAATGACCATAGTTTGGTATCTTGGATGGGCCAGACATGAACAGAATGTAGCTCCTGCAGCATTCCGTGATGAGGTATTCATTAGAGTTGTAATAAAGAAAAGAAAAATCAACATGTTGTTTTACTATATCCTTTTGACATTAGTATTTTCACTACTACTTTATATTAGTATTTTCACTACTACTTTATATTAGTTATAGTGTAAGATGGAAAAGTAGAGTTATTGGAGCAATCTTAAAAATTCTATAATTTTTTTGATGTTCATTGGTTCACAAAAAATATTTTATTTCTTACAGTCAATAAAAATAATATATCAGATATGGAGCAAGTTTGAAGTATTATGTGAAAGTATGCACTTCTAGGACCACGATTAGGCATTATCTGACGTGTGCTTCATATATTTCAACTGTAATACCTCTAACTTAAAATGCTACAGTTTAAATAATACGACATAACCTCAAAAACATATTACACAATTACTCGATACTCCCAGCTTTTAAAAATATATTTAATATCTTTCTTTGTTCTAGTTGCATAGACAAACAAAATAATATATGTTTCATCAAGTTACGTTTTATTCGATTTTACTAGTCCAAGCATGTTAGGCAGATGGCCATTGTTCTTTAGTCTGCAGATTCTAAAAAAACCCTGGTTGGCTGTATCATTGATACAGCCATATTTTATGCGTTGATACGTCTATGTATGAATGGATATATGAGTTATTGATAAAAAAAATAATACTAATTATTAATGTTTTAAATAGAGTTTATTGAGTATAGGTCGATGATATGAAAAAAACAACCCGGAATTATGCAACGTTGTGGCATAATTGCATTTATAAATGAATAATTAAAAAAAAATAAAATAAACAAATTGAAGACACTAAACACTAAATAAATAAATATTCGTTGCGTTCATTTGTTGAATGAAAAAAGTATTCACTAGCGCCAACAGATGGCGTTAGTGCATATACTCCTACTGACAGAATGCCCCTCCCCCTTCAGAGCAAGCATAGTTCACTTATACGCCAATAGATGGCGTTAGTGCATATACTCCTGCTCACAGAATGACCCCCCTGTAGAACGAAAACATAGACGTATCCACGTCAAAAAAACTTTATTAGCTTTTATCTAACAGGATGATCATAATACGCAACTTATTTTTAATATTGTCAAACATCCTATTCACTCAGGTGTCCAAATTCATTTCAAAAAGCGGCATCTGCTCAACGTTGAATTAGTAGTAACGTTTCGTGGCATAAGTGAAATGAGTTCGAAATGACATAGAAATAGAATATCTGAGACACGTATAATCAATCAATTTTATTTTAAACTTTTATACAAGAAATGGAATCAATAGAATTTCTACACTAAATGATGTGAATCCGAACATATGAGTGAATTTGTATTGGGGTTCGGATTTTTACAGAGGCGCCCTCATAGAGGAGTAATATTGGTTGGTTGGTTGATCGCCCTGCTGTTCTTATAAAAGATCGAACGAACAATATGATTATCGAATACAAAAATAGTTTTAAAAACATGGCTCAAAAGCAAAGCACAAAGAGTAAGTTCTCTTCATATATACGCACCGAAAATTGTTTGTATGTGAGAGCGCCCGTGCATATGCGTCGTCGCACGCTCACACTCACAAAATTTATCAATGATAAAGGTGCTCATGGCAGGAGTGGCAGCTCGCCAGTCGTGGCTAGTACGCTATACACGGTGGAACAAAACGACGGATACTCCTGAGGTTCCTGGAGATAACTATTTGTCTTTAATATGATGTAAAAAAAATTATATGTCTAATTCAAATAGTTTCGGAAATATTAAATTACCAAGTTTTTGGAAAAAATGAATGTTTTCAACCCTTAGTCAGCTGTTTTTGGGACGTACTAAGGAATAAGTTTTTAATCGGTCATTGACCTCTTCATTTCTAAAGCGAAATAAACTAGTTTGTAATTAATAAGACCGCTTGTAAATAACATGTAAATTCTACCAGACAATCACTAAACAAGGCAGTCAAAATGCTTCAATCGATTCATAAATTAACAGCCGATTTCTGATTTGAAAAAATAGAAAATCTCTACTGCTTATTCTCAATAACCTAAGTTTATTAATTTCACAAGTCAAATAGTCCTAGTTTTATCAAACTGCTATCAACTGTTCATCAAAAAACTAAAATCGCAAACGAAAACTAAGTGATGTTAGTTTGTTACTTAACTGTTTTTTAACAATTTCTAACTGACAATCACTAAACGAATCAGTCAAAATGCTGAAATAAATTAATAGAGTAACATTTAATAAATCATTGAAAAATTAAAAATATTAATCTAATGTTAACTAATTTACATTACGTTACTACATTATTTCAAATAGACATCATCGATTAACATAAAGTAAATTTGTGATAATAATAAACCATTATCACAAATGTTCTTTATGTTAAAACACTTGGTTACTTATTTAAAATGTATTTAAAAAGAAAATTTAAAGACAATTGCGTGATGACAAAATACGAATTCGAAAAAAAAAGATAAACTGAAATCAATCTCGCGTTGTTACAAGTGCACTTTATAGGGTAAGAAAAAATCGCCCCATTGTCCCACGCATCTCCATTGATGACCAGCGAGGCGGCCGATCTAGGCTGGTCGACTCGAAGAAAATATCTTGCGGTACTTCGACCAAAACCGAAGAGCCAGTTCTCGCCAAGCGGGACGGCACTTCAAAGTCAACCACATGCTCGTCCTACGTGTGTTAAAAATGAACAGGCGCCGCCCATACCGGATCCAACAGGTCCAGGCCATGCTGCCATGATGGGTGTGAAACTGCTCAAGAAATGAGGAACCGCTTGGTGGGAGCATTTGAAGAGCTCCGCCGGCAAAATAACGAAAGTAATGTACCGACATACAAAAGAGCGTGCTCGGCTCTGTCTGCAGAGAGGAGGTGGACATTTTGAGCATCGACTCTAGGTAAGATATTAAATTAGTACTAATAAACATCATTAAACTTAGTTATTATTAAATGTATTGCTGCTATTTCTGGTGTCGGTGTAACCTGTACAGATCAACATTACGTGTAGGCATAGTATAACTCTGGTGTACGCCAACGCGCGAGCGTGTGCGCATTAAAGGGCTGTCAACACTAAGAATTATTTTTTTAACACCAAGTTTTCAACCTTTCTATTTTTAAATACTTACTAAATAAATAAAACATTTGCATGCTACCTAACTTGAAACTTTCAGCTGTGTCGGTCGTTTTAGGGCATGGACCTCTCAATAACAGTTAATCAAATGCAAATTTATATTTCTTCGCATTACCTAAACAACAAGAAGGATGAGTACCTATTTAATCTACCTACTTACTTTTTATTAATTTATTCATTGCGTT